TATACAGTGTGTAGTTTATGCTTGTTCATTGGCTAATTTTTATTTACCACATATTTAACTGTACATGAATGCAGCTGTTTATTCTGAAAAAATTTTTTTTTATCCATTCTTGTCTTGACAGTGGAGTCATTTGATAGAAGCACTTCAAGAGAATATGAGAACCTCAACAACGACTTGACTCAGAAGTATAAGTCCCTAACAGCCAATAAAGAAAAGACTATCAAAGATGATGATGAAAAATATAAATCAATTCTTAAACAGGTGAGGAAGGATGGGATTACTGGAATTAGAGGGGCATGTGATGAAGTGTTCTTTGGAAGGAAAGTTTAAATAATATTTTTCCTTAAACAACAAAATCACAGTTTGTAACAAACTTAAAACTGTATTCTTCTTAATCATGGGTTAATATTGATGGTAAATCACTGTTAATGGCTATTTCACAGATCACGTTTCATGCCAACACATGTCAATTCACAGATCACGAAAACACCCTTTATTACCATCTTAGAAGGTTTGCCCAATAACCAGCTTAAGCCCTGGTCAAATTGATTGAACATCATCCAACATAATTTGTTGGATGAAAATAGTGGAACTATAATTATTTACATGTAGTACCCTGGCATGTAGGATGGGAGTTTGGCTTTACCTTAGTCAAACTTAATTAATTTACTTGAATAAGTTTGCATTTTTTTTTCTCTTCAGATTGCTCATTTAAATTCAACAATAGATGACTTACGGAAGAGGGTCAAATTACCAGGAAGTGCTAGCACAATTACTAGTGACATAGAATCATTAAAGAAAGGAATGGCCGACACAGGAGGTGACATTACAGAGATCAAAGATAAGATTAAACAGCTAACAGATCTAGCTGGTCAACAGCGTGGAAAAATGGACGAGTTGACCAAAAAAGTTTTTAATCTTACAGTGAGTACTTTTATTTTCATTTAATACACTTGCGTCAGTTCAACCTACATGTTATTTTGATCAAGCTGATGTAAAGATTAAAACATCAACCCAAGCAACATTTAACATGTTACAGCAGCTTTTAGTCAAAAACTACATTGAGTGGATTCAAACATGAGTCAGTCATGGTAGTTTAATTGTAGTTTAGTTATTTGCCACACAAAAATAGAAAAATAATACAATAATAATTAAATTACAATCATTTGTAGATCGAGGAAGGCCCCCTGCCCCAACCCACCCACACACAACACAAGAAGGCCAATCTTAACTTTGGATGCACCTAACCCGCTTCCTTTGAGGGTCAGCGTGCCCCTGGGGGGGAGGGACCTCCTTGATGTGGCACTGACGGGAAGTGGCTCATCATACCTTTTAGAGGTTGAAAAATCATGTTTTTTCAGTACCGCTGCATGTCTTGGGTGTTCCACATTCCAAATTTCAACAGTTGCTACATATCATGGTACCTACCTTCAATGGAAGCCATAAATAGACATTGTGCAGCTGTGAACTAGTTTTCAAAAAATGAAATTAACTTTTTAATAATCTCTTTTGTCCTGTACCTCTTGAGGGTAAAAAATGAACAAGTACCAGGTAACCTTTTAGCAAATCCTCGTCACTTTTTATGTGGGCCATTCCTTCCCTGTGAGTAATGGATTCCCCATTTAACCCATTTATCTTGTAATCCCAAATACCCATTAGATATTTTTGTTTCAGACATTTTTCTTCTTCTTCTTCCAATGAACACAATTATTTGGCGAATCATTTGGCTTTCTTGAGTTCATAAATGAATTTTTTGTTTATGTCCTTGAACCGTACAGGTACAAGTTGCTCATGTCATAGGGAAAGCCAACTCCCAAACCTCCTGCAAATGCGGAAACTTCCGTCCAGTTAATTTTAGACGGATTGCCTATTAGTGCTGGATTAGAAACCAAAACACTGAAGATGAAATCTGTCATGAAGAATGTGACGGCACAAATTTCAGTTGTTAATCCAATGTAGACATTTCACACAACCTGTTTTTTGTTAAACATGGCTGCCACCTCTCATGACTCAACCAATTCCACGGAGGAAACTCAAGGCGGTAAGCATTTTTAAAGGATTGTGGAGTTATATTATTTGGTGAATATCCGGTTCAGGTACGGCCTCAATGAATGTCTAGTTTAAGCTTGAAAGCTTATGGCGTCGTAGTACAGGTATTTTTGTCCACTGGCCAGAAATATTTATCGATTTTCTTGAATGTATTTTTCCCTCTTTAAGAGGCTCTGTTTTGTGGCTTATCAGTCCGGCATTAACTCCGGTTTCCATAGCCTGAGGCGAATAGGGAGTATCGTTACTTTCCCCCTGGATGGGATGTCTAGATCAAAAGAAAAAAAAAAAAACCGATCAGCAAAAAAAAGGGTAACCTCCCGCATTTTTTGTCATGGTTGCCCTGACGATTCCACCAGTACCTATTTACTTCCTGGGTGGAGAGCGGCCCACATGTTGAGAGTCTAAGGTACCTGATGCACACCACTCCGCCGCACAGGCATAACAAAGTGACGCCCAGCCAGGGCTTGAACCCAGACAGCTCGATCCGGAGTCCAACGCGCTAACCATTAGGCCACCACGTCTCCCACAGTATTTTTCTTCAAATCATTACCTTTTAGATAGAATGGGTGTGTAGCAAAAATTAATTCCTTTTCAAACCCTCTTTGTTGTTAGGAAGTTGCCAGGGTTATGGGAGTTGTTACATCAGTGAACCACACCCTTTCCTATGAAGTGGCAAGATTACGCGTTCTGATGAAAAGTCTGCTGACAGAAGTCAAGAAACATGTAGTGAGTAAAATTCTCTCTTGTAAACATGTTATGTACCGCTCCCTTCTTTAATATTATTAATATGAAATCACAGCTAAATAAAAAACTTCACAGAGGATGTTCTAAGCATTATTCTTAAATGAAATGAAGTAAATGTTTTTTTGTTTGCACAAAAATCAAATTATGAAGTTTACATTCCATCTCAATAATTTTTGTCCAATTTTGACCATTGTTAATCTTCCCGCATCGGCGTAATAGTTCTTTAATCCTTTAAGCCCCAATAGTGATCAGCGTCATTCTTTTCCTCCTTGCTGATATCAATTGCATGGAATCAAGCATGCAGGTCATGAGAATTTTGCAGAATGATTAACAAAGATGAAATGCAAGTTCTCCCAAACAAGTTCTATGAGAAATGTATGGAGACCAGTAAGGAGAAATTTGTCTGTTGACATTAGGGCTTAAAGCGATAAAGGTCTTTCACCTGATGATCAAACATGCATACATGTGACATAATTTTCAAATATATTCTCAAGATCAACACTAAGGAGAAACATCGTAAATATTGTTTTGTCTATCAGGTAACAATCGACGAGTTACAGACTTGAAGTGTCACAGATATTGAGACCAAACCACAGCAGTGTAGTATCAAGAGGTCACCTTGATGCTGACAGTGAGGGTGTGTCAGAACATGTCTTCAATTTAACTGTTGTTGTGACAAAGCTCTCGGATGATGTAGAACAACACTCAAGGAATCTAGCTGAACTGGTATGCTTGGTTTTGCTGTCTTAACCCCTTCACAAACCCTGTTAGTTCAACAAGCATTAAGGCAGTGGCAAACGGGGGAAACACTGTTTCTTGGGTGAGGAAACAAGCAGGAAGTTTTGCTTCCTTGCTGTGCAAATCAAGAAACATTTCACAGGGAAATAAATGCTGTGAACACATGATATTATGTGCATGCAATGCAAAATGAGAGGATTGGTCAACAAATTTAACTCTCTTTGTCATGTTTTTGGACCTCTTGTAAAGGCTGTAAAGTCAGTGAAATTTGTCTCTGTAAGGAGGTTTGCACATGCTCAAGATAGGGTGCAGCCCTGGAATCTAGTCAACATTGTTTCCTTGGCGAGCAAATGGGGAAACATTTGTTGTGGAAGCAAATCAGAAACATTTTTTTTTAAATCAAAAAGTTTACATTCTGCAACAAATGTAGTGTGCACGGGCAAACATTTTGGGGAACATTGCAATTCACAAAATTAATGTTTCCGCAACAATGTTTCCTTGTTTTCCTTGGCCTTTAGTGTTAGTAATTAGTTTTACAAGTGAAGTGTATAATGAAAGAATAATATATGAACTGCAGATAGAGAGTAAAGTGAAGAAATGATCTTCGCAGTTGTGTTTGCAATAATTATAATACCAATGTTTGGTATTAGTGTTGTTACAATCTGTTTTCTACAACATTTTGTTGCAGATGTTGGAAGTTCTACAGATCAACACAACAGTTTACCATCATCAACATGATGATGCCGATGATGTCATGCCAGAGACATATGCTCCATGCAATTGCTCGGCAGAAGTGGGGAAACTATGGGAGCAGTTGTCCAGCAACAAATTAAGCATAGAATCAGTTCAACAAGAACTTCAAGCACTACAAAAAGCCGGTTAAAATTTTGCCAAGTAAGGATTATTATTAAATTGAGACTCGATTGTTTATGGAATATTGCAATTATGGCATTCTTACTAGGAACCATCAAGTCCAAAGTGTCTGTATTATGAAGTGCAGGGTAGCATTGTGTGGGGAAAATACCCACAGGAAACACCCAGAAACTTGACGCTGTTTCGTAGCACCACTACTTGTCATTGTGAAAACAACTTCACAAGCATGCAGTGCGTGCAAAGTATGCCTATGGCACAAGATAATACAGTTGTTATACAGTCGAACCTACGCTAATGGACACCTCCTGTGGAGGTTCAACTGTATTCCTCCTGAACTCTAAAATGTACCTTCATCTCCTTGGGACTTCAATCTCTGGCTTTTTTTTGTAATGTACATTTAGCTGTCAGTTGCCAATCTTTTATAATGAAATATTAAACTGTTGTAATCACTGAATGGCAAATTGCTTTGAAACCCTAAAACTATTGAATGCTTTCTTTGCAGAAAACATCACCTCAGCACTTGACATTACAGAAGCGAGCATCTCAGTGGACAAGCCAACACCTGAAAACCATAGTTCAAATGATAGCCATAGCGGCAGAAACTGATAAAGACATTGAGGAAGATGAACTCAATGCTGAAAAATGTTAAACCATCTCCTTCACCAGAAAGTAATGTCAGTGACACTGTGTTCAAAGTTGATAAGGTCATCGAACCTTCTGTTTTACCATCTGGAACATGCAAACTCCACTCAACCATTAAATACAACTAGATCTTCTCAGGTCACAGTCATCAACTCCACAGAAAATAATCAAAGTTAGTTGCCAAAACATTTTTTTGTTTTACACAATTTTGTTTTTTATTATTTACCTTTGTTTTATTTTCTGTCACACAGAGTCTATTTTTAGACTATACATTGTTTAGTTGATGCATTACAATCAGCTCACCTAAATGAACACTACTAAAGATATTTTTTTGGCTTAACGATTAAATGCACAAGCAACGTTTGCAGCTCTCAAGTGAAGTATTACTATGTGTATGATGTTAATTATGCACCTAGTAATTTTTTTTATTGTTAAACCTGTCATGTACTGAATTTGGTTCTAACTTTTACGTCTGTGTATGAAATCTCATTAATATACTAGCCATTGGCAATACTTTCATGTGCATGATACTGTTTATTATGCTGTACAAGGTGCTTCAAACTTTGAAGCTGCAGATGAAACTCTAGTGTGTGGACCATTCAAATGAAAGCTATTGAGAAGTACTTTCAAGTGGTACTGTTTATTATGCTGTACAAGGTGGTTCTAACTTTTCAGTATGTGGATGAAACCCTAGTGTGTGAGTGACCATTCAAATCAAAGCTATTGAGCAGTACTTTCATGTGGTACTGTTTATTGTACTGTACAAGGTGGTTCTAACTTTTAAGCCTGTGGATGAACCCTAGTGTGTGACCATTCAATTCTCAAACTCATTAATAATTCATGAGGTTATCAGCAATGACGGGAAAGTATTTCGTCACATGCATGGATCTAGATACCCAATGAAAACCCATATCCAAATCACTAGTGATCTGGATATGCGTTTTATTGGATATCTAGATTCTTGTGGCATTTATATGACTTAGACTTAAACTAAATAATTATCAAAGAAGCATTTTTCAAAGAAAAAATAATTCAATGTTTAACCAGCTGGAGTCGAACCCGTGACCTTCCGCGCAGCAGTCGGATGCTCTACCATTGAGCTACAAGATACTTGAATGACTTAGAGCATTAAAGTAGATTATCATCATGCTTGAAATGCAAAATAACAAATTTTCACTCATTTACATTTGACTTCATGATCATGTTTTCCCCCAACGGATTTAGAAACTGTTAATTAGAAGTGCAAAACAATATTTCATTACTACTATTCAGAGCTTACGTTTGGTAACCGTAAATTAAGAACTGGAAAACAATGCGGGTCAACTACTACTAATTAGTGCTTTGTTTTTAAAGCTTTTGTTTGAGAAGCAATCTAAAAAACTCGTGCTTCGGGTTTCATCGTGGTATCCAAAGATCTTGAAACAAATAAAAGCACTCGGCCGAAGCGGCCTCGTGCTTTCATTTGTTTCTCGATCTTTGGATACCACGATGAAACCCTCGCACTCGTTTTTTATATACTACATGAAAGCTACTGAGAAAGTTTAAAATTGGGTTAATTGGTTGCTTAATCCTGAATGTGATCGTGTAGAATTAAAGCTGTTATTAACATTGATTTGATATTAATAAGCTGTCTTGTAACCTTGCTTGTAGCTTTATCCGCTGATCAGAAAGTTCAAGTTGAAGTTATCAAGCTAGCGACACCCAGTGCAGAAGAGAAGTTAGAACACAACCTAGAAGATCCAGACTCTGATTCATAGATTTATAATAAAGGTAGTGTTCCATTGCTATTCAGAGCCATGGATTATTAACATCAATAATCCATCTAGCTGATGTAGATGCTAAACTGTCATGAAAGGCTTTGAGAAATGTTACTATACCTTGCAATAGTATTTGTTCAAAACTGTTATAAATGCACGAAATGGTCCCTAAATTTATGGAATAAGAACTATAAACTCTAACTACATGTTAAAAGGCAATTTCTTGAAGAAATTCCATACTGCTACAACATTTTTGCAAAATTTCAAATATTTCCGAGCCAAACTTGAAACTTTGAAAACTGACAGCCTGTCACTTTTTCAAAAATCCATATTGTAATCCATTTCCATCCCCGCTGTTGTTAGTCATCCTCACTTCATAATGGGTTCCTGTCATGTTTTGAGTACTATTCTACAGAATCAAACCATTATTGTTCAGCATCCTATGATCTAGATATGTTTCTGAGCTTCCCTAAATCATGCTAAAAATGAGGACACCTAACGGTTGAGCTTTACACTGCCGTCAATCTTCTTAGCAGAAACATAATTTACTTCAACGGGATCAAAAAACATCTCTGTGGGTTGTGATTGTTGCGCTCAAACCTGTACCCCTCAATCCAGAAACCACACTCTTTATCAGAAGAGAGTTTGCAAAATTTGTTAACGTGTTTGTGTTATATTTTCTCAGGTTGTTTGTGGACTCCACCTTCAATGATATCAGAAGATGAAAATTATAGTTAATATAAGTAAGTACTACCATCATGGTTCAG